CCCACCCCACCCCAACCCTCTCTCCTCCTTTGCTCACTCTGTGGAATGGAGAGGAGGGGAGTGACGAGAGAAAAACGAATACAAATCTGCAATTGATTTTCATAATGTTTCTGCGGTGTTTGCAAACCAATCGCTTGAACGTCCCCATCTTACCTAAGAGAGAACCCCTCCTACGTCCGCGAAGTGCTCCGAACTGATATATGACAATATCTACTTTGGATCACGTGCTCGGGGAGAGAGACTAAGACGGATAACGCGTCATCTCGCCTTCCCAAATTTTCCCCCCTCGCTAGACTGGGTCCAAAACCTCCATCTGGAGCCGGCAGGAGAAGAGAACGATGTTTAACTCGGTCAACCTGGGCAACTTCTGCTCGCCGTCGCGCAAGGAGAGGGGCGCTGATTTCGGCGAGCGAGGGAGCTGCGCCTCCAACCTCTATCTGCCCAGTTGCACTTACTACGTGCCTGAGTTCTCCACGGTCTCCTCCTTCCTGCCCCAGGCCCCCTCTCGTCAGATCTCCTATCCCTACTCGGCCCAAGTGCCCCCGGTCCGGGAGGTGTCCTACGGCCTGGAGCCATCCGGCAAGTGGCACCACCGGAACAGCTACTCCTCCTGCTATGCGGCGGCCGACGAGCTTATGCACCGGGAGTGCCTGCCTCCTTCCACCGTCACGGAGATCCTCATGAAAAACGAAGGCTCATACGGCGGTCACCACCACCCCAGCGCCCCGCACGCAGCCCCCGCCAGCTTCTACTCCTCAGTCAACAAGAACAGCGTCCTGCCTCAAGCCTTCGACCGCTTCTTCGACAACGCCTACTGTGGTGGTGGCGACGCGCCTGCCGAGCCCCCCTGCCCAGGCAAGGGTGAGGCCAAGGGGGAGCCCGAGGTGCCCCCGGCCTCGGGACTAGCGTCCCGGGGTGAGGCGGGTGCCGAGGCCGAGGCCGAGGAGGAAAACACGAATCCCAGCTCGTCCGGTTCAGCCCATTCGGCGGCCAAGGAGCCGACCAAGGGAGCCGCCCCCAGTAGGTAGCAGCGGCGGGGGAACAGGCGGGCAGCGAGGGAGGGAACGAGAAAGGGAGGGTGGGAACAGGGGGGAGGCAAGGAGAACAGGGATGGCCTCGTGTTTTGGGTCACTCCGATTTTATGTGGAGTTTTATAAGCATTCAAAGGATTTTATTATAACCTACAAAGCCCTCTCTTCCAACGACTCGACTTTTTACGATGGAGAAGGGGTGGGGAGGGAGGGAAAAGAGCTCTTTGGAAAAGCCGGGTGAACCCCCCTCCCCGTTATCTCCCTCTGTCTGTGAAATTTTTAAAAGCGCCACCATCGCGGGCGATATTAACTTTGATCGTGAACTTAGAGGAGCATTTAAGGAAGGATGAGGAACCGAACTGCCAGGGGGGTGGGAGGAGGGAGGGGTGGAGGGGGGAAAAAGGGAGGGCGAGGGAAAGACAGGGAGAAACTCAGAGAGGGGGAGTGGTGGGGGAGAGAGGCAATGGAGCAGAGCCTGAGACCGGAGAGGCCGGCCAGGGCTACTCTGCTTCTTTTAAAAACTATTTTTGAAATGTTCAAATTATATGTTCGCGGTTCCTTGAGCAGAACCCGGAGCTACCCGGGGTTAGCGGCGACGGAAGTTTGAGGAGAGGAGGCTCCGGGTGCCACTCTGCGCCAGGCCGGGGTCTCCGCGTTTCTCTGCGCTCCGCGGCCTCATCGCGGGCCTAGCCGGGTGGAGGGAAAGCGCGGCCCGCCGGGCGTCCCGGGGCGCCAGGGCCCCCGGAAGCGGCTCTCGGATGTCTTTGGTGCCTGCTCACTCGCTTCCTCCCCACCTCCCCAGTGCTGTTGCCCGCTCTCAGTTCTGCGCGCTTGTTCTCCGCGGTTACCCCCGATTTCTGGGGCAGGGGGCGGTGGGTTTCCAGAGCCACTAGGAGGGCTTGGGGGAAGGGCAGAGGCTCTTGGCTGAGCAGGCGCGGGGGTGTCGGGGCCAGGGACGCGCTTGGCCCCGCTGACTTACTTCTCTCCCAGACTCGGGCAGCCAGGGCTCTCGCCTGAGTGTGCGTGGGTGGGTGCGGGGGGCAGGTTGTCCTGAGTGGCCTGAGATTGGGACGAGCTAGATCTGGCAAGGGGTTCGTGGCTGGCCACAGCGCTTCGGCGCGTCAGGAGATGCCGCCTGGCCTGGTGGGAGGGCTGCCTGGCGGCGGGGCTGGGAGAAGGGCCGCTGAGCGCTCAGCGGGTAGGGGTCGCCCGGGTCTCACGTGTCTCTCTCCCCTTCTCCTCGCACTTGCCCCCCTTCCCTCCAGACGCCCCCCGCACCCGCAAGAAGCGCTGTCCTTATTCGAAATTCCAGATTCGGGAACTGGAGAGAGAGTTTTTCTTCAACGTGTATATCAACAAAGAGAAGCGGCTGCAGCTGTCCCGGATGCTGAACCTGACAGACCGACAAGTGAAAATTTGGTTTCAGAACAGAAGAATGAAAGAAAAAAAACTAAGCAGAGACCGGCTGCAGTATTTCTCGGGAAATCCTCTGCTGTAACCGCATACAGGGCCCTTTGGAGGGAGGGAGAAAGGAAGAAATTATTTTATTTTATTTTTATTTTTTATTTTCTAACTCGCCTTCTTTCCGCGGGTGGAAAACTGTACTGTGGCCAGGGCTGGCCCCCACTGCCGTTGCCCGCAATTCTTTCTGGAACCTCCTTCTACTTCGGTCTGACTCTCGCGTGGGACAGGCACCGGGCCTGGAACGGGGGAGGTGAAGGGAAGTGTCTGGCCCACTGCGAATGGACTCCGTTGGCGCCGAGGCCAAGACTCTTTATTTAAAAGAAAACACACCTCGCGACAATGTCTTGCTGCTCTGATCCGGTGGGGGAGGGGCGAGAGTTGTGGTTCCCAAGCAGAACAATCCTTGAACGAAAAGCTTTCCCTTGCCCAAGTGAAAAGGTCTTAGAAGACACCGTGTCTGCCAGGGGAGACATCTCGGGCGCTTCTCCCCTACCCTACCTGCCCCATTGCTAGGGGCGCAGCTAAATGTGATCCTGCCTTGCTGTGAAATTTCTGTATCTTCATCCTGGTGTTAGGTGTGCAAAGTCCGTGTCCTACCTCCGTCTGCGCCCAGGCCCCGCCCCGAGCCAAGCCGTTCTCCCTTGACTGTGTAGAGCCCTCCTTTGAAATTTCTTAACTGGTGCATTGAGGTTTCCTAACCTTTTTCCGAGTCATGCCCTACTCCAAACATTTATAGCTATAGTCTATGCAGTTGTTATCACTTTTTTTTTTAAGGAAAAAAAATTAAAAAGTTGGGGTGTATGAGGCAGTAGGGAGATGGGATTGGGTGCCTCCCCCATGCTGAGGCCTGAATTTTTGTAAATAAATTTCACAAGCATTTCTTTCTACCCAGAGGGGATGGGGGGAGGACTTGCCTGGAATGAGATTCGAATCACTCATCTCTCTCCATGTGCGTGAGTGTGTGTATGTGTGCAACCCCCCATCCTGTTCCTGTCCCAGAAGGATTGCTGTGAACTCTTCTTCTTCTTCTTTTTCTTTCTTTCTTTTTTTTTTTTTTGGTGGCAAATAAAGATATTTCATTCTGTTCAATATTATGATTTTATTTGACCCTTTTATTAGTCCCTCTCCTTTTAAAACCCTCAATATTCCCAAGGTGGAGGAGGAGGCAGGCAGGCAGAGTCCTGGCGGTGGTGTGAAGGTGACGTAGGCCAGAGCTGGTGGGCCTGCACCCCCTCTCCTCTGGCAGGAGCAAGAGTGTGGCGGTAGCTTCCTCTTGCTCTCAAGCTGAGGACATTCTATTGCTCCTCTTAAAGATTTCCTTTCTCACGTGCAGCCCGAGCTGAGTCCAAACACCCAGCAATGCTTTCCGTTTAAGTACATGTTTGTTGTGGAGTTAATTGTAACCATCATCGAATTTAAATTTATAGGAATTTTCTTGGCTCCACCACCCTCCTGCCAGATGTCTCCGTCTGTCGCAGTTAAATGTGTAGGGATGAGGGTAGGACTCCCCCCCACCCATGAGAAGACTGTATTGGAATTTTAATATACAGTTTTGAAGGAAGGAGGAGAGAGGAGGAGAAACCAGCCCCCTCCCTTTCCTCACCTTGGCCGCTCTGAGGGGTGGGAAGGTGGGGCTGGGCCCCTTCCCCTCATGCACAAATGGCCAGGCTCCTTCAGACATGACAAGATGTTAGGCTGGGGCCACCCTGATGTTTACACACAAGGTATCGCAGAGGAGAAAGCCCCAAAGATTTGTTTTCTAAGAGGTTGGCATGGGCTGGGGCGCTGGGGAAGGAGGTGACCTGTGGGGACAGTCACCACATTCATCTATATTTGCTGCATGTTTCTTCTGCATAAAGATAACCATAGTCTTTTCTATGCTTTCAGTGAGGGCACTCCAGCAGTCTCTGATCTAAATTCATTATTTGGGACCAGAGATTTTTCTTATCTCTTCGGAACTGTTCTTACGTAATTCAAAGAAAATATTTTTGCCAATACAATTTTGTTGAACGAAAGATAAAAGCTCCAGGACTATGGACTATTACATCTACGCTCCGTCATTATTTTTGATAACAGGGATCTCTGCAGTTTAGGTATCTGAATCTCTAATTTGTAAATGTGGTTTTGAGACAATATTTGCAAACTAGACTGTATATGCAGCCCCACAGTTCCTCCATGTGCGCACACACAAATATTTTCATTTAAGTCGGTGTGCCTATGGGTGCACATGAGAAGGAATATTATTTGTACACTTTTCCTATAGTATGGAGTAAAACTGACCACATGCACATCTAGGACTTGTGTC